TGTTAAGTTGTTTTAATCTATTTAATAAGAGTAGAGCGTTGTGTATGTTTACCACCTCTCAGAGTGTTTGTTGAATTACGAGTAATATGGCGAATTCTTTCTGTTGAAATGCTCAACAGTTTCAACAGCATGGGCAATGAATAAGGAAGTTTCTAATCCTGGTAATCTCAGAGAAATATTCGACTTCTAACTGGGCTAAAGCGTTTAGATAGCTCATTCTCAGAACATAGTAATAAATATAAGTCAGTTTAAGGATAAGCGCTTTTCAGAAAAAAAATATGTCTTCGCGAAACAAATGAAATAGAAAATGCAAAAAATTTGATTGGTGACTCCAAGCTGAAGTAGCATAGTTAAATACCTGTTTCTTGGGACGTTGTAATAACTGTAGACTGGTTTTAAAATGGACATCTTGAAAAGATATAAGGTTCTTTGGAATCACAGCAGGCTTGTACAAAAAACGAAGACTAGTTTGAAAAATCAGTCAGTGACCTCCGGTTGGATTGGCGTAATATAGCAGCTTAGCGCATTTTGATGATTATAGGGCCTTTTCAGAATGAACTATTTGAATGTATGGAACCGTTACAGACACATTTATATCAGACTTCTTGTTTGAGAAGTTAAATTCTTTTTAAAAGACGTCAGTTTTGTGTAAGAGGGACCTTTTGCAGTTAAGACTGAAATAAGATGTGTTACATAACTGATGTTTATGCTTCAATAGTTGTCAACTGATTCTGCTTATAAAGTAGTTTCAGACGACTGGGATGCCTTGTATGATGATGGTTACGACTTCATTGAGTCTGATGAGCAGAATGATGGTGGAAGTGGCTTGGTAAATCCACAAATTGAAAATCATATCAACGGGTTACACTTATGTGATTTTGCTGTGAATGGTTGGTGCATCTAATATCACTTTTTTTTTGGTTTTAAACGAGATTTTGAAGTTTGTTTGTAGTATTTGGGAGAGGGGCGGCATTTTCTCTGGCATCTTAGTTTTCTTCTGTGGTCTTACTCGTTGACTTAAGGAGATGGCGTGAAAGTTCGTCCTGAGGAGTGTGTATCGGAAGGTGCAAAGTCGGGGTTGAGTGACGTTGCAAAAGTGAGTTGGTTTTTTTGTTTTCAATAGAAATCCAGGTTCATTTTCGTGCGGCAGGACATGTGTTAGTGTAATCGTCTATATTTTTAGAACAGCTCTATCTTTACGTTTGGACAAATTACTGTTATGGCTTGAATCTAAATGGTCATGCTAACTTTCAACGGGGTAACTTTTTAGGCACAAGTGATCAATGAGAAAATGCAGCTTGAAGGTAACCGTCCGATAACTACTTCAGATCTCAAGGTTTGAGGGCTACCTAGTTCGGATTTTTTGTTGTATTAATTACGTTCTTTATGACTTTTGCCCAGTTGTTGAAAGTATCTTGTACAGTCTTGTATAATGTTTATATTTTTTGTCGTTATTGACCTTAAGTTGAGCCGGTATGCAATAAATGTGCTTATCATTTAAGCTTTCTGTCTTTTACGCTTTTTTTTTTCAAAAATTTTAAGGGCGTTTGAGGTATCGTAGTTGCTTCATAAATATATATTGATTGTTTTCTCATCGGAAGCAATTCTGTTTTGTTCTTGGTGTCATCGTTTTATGCTTTGGAGGTTTGAATTAGAGAGGTTTAACTGATAGTGGTTGTTGTTCTCAAAGTGTTTAGTTCTCTGGATAACGTGCTCATTGAATTTGTTATCGCTGTGCCTAAATCGTACAGTAAATACTTGTACCTCGTTTATTTTGAGTTTCTTGAAGTACCGGTGAAAAACTGCATCAGTTCTGGGAATTTGAGTGCATTGGGTTATAAAGGAAGATTGAGCTGATTAAAATGGTGAAAGTTGTAGCCGTTGGATTCTAGGTCTTGTTGTAAAGTTTTCATCATTACGTATCCTGGAGATCATGATTTTCTGTAGGTATTTACAAGGCGTTATTTTTTGTTTGGCTACATTAGTTTTCATTCAATAACAGTGATGGTTTTTTTTT